TACCTAACAGAGCAAATGGCATGCCCTTTCTGAGGAAGAAAAATATTACTCTAGTGTCTACAATTCTTTTAAACAAATATCTAGTAGGATGAAAGAATATGCGATAAGAAAAAACATGAAAATGTGACATATAATCAAGAATCATATCCCAAAAGATTCAGAAAAACATATCTTCAAAAAGTAAAAAATAGGCATTCAAAAGTTGAAAACATAGTATCATAAAGTTATGAATTTAATGAATGACACACAATGGAGTATTTACAGCTACAAAATAAAATTTTAAACAAATAGGTCTATTGAGTTATTTCCAAGACATCCTGCTAATAATTTAAGAAGACAACTCACAAAAGAGAATTTACGTTGCCCAAAAACCCATAATCCCAGTTACACCATGAGAAAAACATCAGACAAATCCAAACTGAGAGACATTCTACAATGCACCTGACTGGCACTTTTCAAAACTATCAAAGTCATCAAAAATTAGAAAATGTAACGTGCCATAGGATCCTGGTACAGATGTCATCAGCAGAAAAATTGGTGAAATTCTAATAAAGTCTATAGTTTAGTTAGTAATACTGCTCCAACGTTAAGATAAGCAGAGTACAGAAAGCAGCTTTAGAACTCTGCATACTTACTGATGGAAAGAAACTGGCCTGTGCATTTATTTGATTAGGGTCAGAAATGAGGAGGCAGGACAGGAGAAGGCAATAGAAAGCAAAGCCTATGGCATGCTCAGAGTGGGACATTTAAAGGAGACCCTTTCCACACAGACTTGGGATCTTCCCACCCCTGCCAGAGAGCAAAATCCCAGAGGAAAAAGCAGACGAAACTTTCACTATCTTACTCTCAAAAGGGGACTATAGGGAATGTTGCCTTGGAGCAGAACAAAATGGATCGAAAAGGTTGGCTTGGGGTGGGATGAAAGAAATCAGAGGTTATAAACGGGAAGACAGCTCCTGAAATTTTGGTCTCAAGCAATTAATTTAGTTTAAGTAGATTCTAAACAAGTTGTGGTCAGGCCTTAGCAGAAGCAAAGGCAAATCCTCTTTCAAAGAATACATTTCCATGTCAAGACTTGGGAAATCCCCACAAGTAATTTTTTAAAGGCAATGAGAAGCTATGCAGTCAAACATAATGAACAAAAGGAAGTAAAGAAACATGAAAAATACTATCAAAAAACAATAGCAGAGAGAGATCCACAAAATTAGAAAAATTAGAAAATGTAACGTGCCACAGGATCCTGGGACAGATGTCATCAGCCTTCCTGTACTGGAAATACCAGAGACAGATCATAAGTGAATATGCTTACTTTTCATAAAGGAATACAGAGGATAGCTGCAGTATGAACAAAAGATATTAAGAGGATATGATTCACAAGTTAATACTAATACATTTGAAAATTTAGGCAAAATAAACAAACTTCTGGGAAAAATAACAAAAGTGACTTAAGGAAAATAGATAATTTGGACAGAGCTATACCCATTAAACTGAATCATAGCCAAAAACACTATACGAACCAAAATAAAATTCTCCTGCCCTCTTTCCTTCCCTCTCTCCCCCTCCTCCTCCCCTCTCTCTCTCTCTCTCTCTTCTCAAGTCCAGGAGGCTTTCATGGTCAGTTCTATCAATCATTCTAGGAAGAAATATTCCAATCTCATACAAACACTTCCAGAGCATTAAAATAGAAAGAAAAAGAAAATATGTGAGAAGCAAACAACTTAACTCACACCATGAAGTCAACATAACCTTGATGGTAAAATCTCAAGAGGACAGTACAAGGAAGGAAATTTATGAGCTAATTTCTCCCATTAATATAAATTAAAAACCTACATAAATTATTAATAAACCAAATTAAAAAAATATAAGGATACTTTATCATGACCAAGTTGGGTTTATCCTAGAAACACAAGGTTGCTTTAATTGTACAATATAATAATAATGACACAAAGAGATGGAAATAAGACCATATATGCCTGTATTTGCTGAAAGAAGCACTTGAAGGACAAGCAAAAAAAAAAAAAAATGGTGAAAGGGGCAAAGGTGAAAGGCTTTTGAGACATGTGAACATATTACTGATTTTTAAATTTAATTTAAAAAGTAAATCAATTAATGTAATTAATCACATTAACATAGAGTAAAATCACACAAACACCCCGATAAAGAAAAAGCAGTGGGTAAAATTTAGTATCCATTCAATATTAATAAAAACTCTTCGATAAACTAGATCTAGAAGGGAACTTTCTTAATCAGATAAAATATATCTATAATAAAAACCAAACAATCACATTATTTGTTAAATGTTGTAAATAATCCCTCAATTAGGAACAAGGCCAGAATACCCACTATTGCTTCTATTAAACATTATAGTTGAGGTCCTGTCCAAGGCAGTAAGGCAATAAAAAGAAAAGTTATAAGAATTGAAAATAAAAAAAATTTTTCCCTCTTTATGGGATAATATGGTAATGTATGTAGAATGAACCTACAGATTATTTGAATATGTAAGGAAATTTAGAATATATAAAAGTTAATCATATTCCTAAATATACAATTAGAAAAAAAAAATTAAAAACTTTTACAATACTATAAAATTTAAGTATCCAGGAATAAATTTCACAATGTTGTACAAGACCTTTCAAAAAAAATATAAAACTTTATTGTAAGGCAATAAAAAGACCTAAATAAAATGGATCAGAAAAGTTCATGCTGAGATGATATTATTTCTTCATACGTTGGCTTATAAATTTAATACCATGCAGAAAATGTCCTGCAGGTTTATATTATGTAACTTAATAGTAAGAAATGTAAATGGCCAAGACTGGTTGAGACACTCTCCTAGAAGAGCAAAGTGGAGGAACTTGCTCTACCACATTAAGACATGTTACAAAGCTATGGAAACTGAGAAAAACATGTTGTTCACACAGGGACATACTAATAGATCAATAGGACAGAATAAAAAAGCCAAGAAACACATTCATTCATGGATGGACACTTGATAAATGGCAGGTGGCAACTGGCTATCTGTATGGGGAGGAAAATGAAATTGAGCTCCTACCTCCATTACACAAAAATCAATACTAAGTTGAATAAGACACAAAAAGCATTAACAATAAAGGAAATTCTTGATAAATTCTATGTTAAAATGAAAAACTTCATTCAAGGCACAAATTTTTTAAGAAAGAAAATAGAGTAGAAGATACTTGCAACCCATATAAACAGCAAAGGAGTCAGAAATAAATGTTTAATATGTCCTATAAATTAATGAGAAAAAGATAGACAGCCCAATAGAAAAGTGAGCAAAAGACCTAAATGGGCACTTCAAAAGAAGAAATACAAGATACTCAAGGTTGTCAGTAACCAGAGGAATGTAAATTTAAACAACAAGAAGATATTATTCACAAGATTGACAAAAATTAAAAATTCTGTAATAGCAAGTCTTGGTGAAGATACAGAACAAGATCTCTCAAATGCTCTTCACTGGCAATGTAAATTGGTACAACCTCTTTGGAAAACAGTTGGCAGCATCTGATAATATTAAAGATATTCATAGTCTATGACCCCAAAGTTGCACTCTTAGATTTACATTCCATTTAAATGTATGTAGAATTGCACCGGGAGACATGAACAACAATGTTTATACCAACATTTTTAAAATAATGGCCGGAAACTCCAGAATCTGTGAATCAAATGTTCACTACTGACAGACTAGGCATATTCATAAAATGAAATTCTATACAACAATACAAATGAACAAACCACAGCCACCCACCAGATAAATCTCACAAATACAATGTTGAAAAAAATGAAGCAAAACCCCTAAGAATGCATGATAACAGTATGATACCAATTGTGCCAAGTTCAAATAAGTTTAGGAATGCATCCATATGTGGTAAAAGTATAAAAGTAAGCAGGGAAATTATCACTGCAAAAGTCAGGATAGTTGTTACTTAAGGGGAAGGGAGACGGTTATACCTGGAAAAGGGCATGGGGCTTTAATACTGCTATTGTTCTCTTTCTTAATCTGACTGGAGCTTACACAGAATGTGCTTGATAATTACTTGTTAGCCTATGCATATATTTTTATACACTGCGTATTTTACAATAAAGGGAAAACCTTAATACAGGGATTTTCATTATCAAAGTATTTGTTATGTCAGTGCCAGCAACTGCAAGGTTATGTATGGAATCAAAAGGTGCCATAAGATGACAACATGCACAAAGCACCTCATCCCTGAATGAACTGATCTCTCCACTCAACCGTTCCCCCCTGGTTAATGCCAGCAGCTCTCTCACTGACTGTATACATCCACAATTTAAATAAAAGGCAAGTCATTTGCAAATTCATTCATTCAACCAATATTTATTAATGTCTATCGCGTATTTTCCAACACTGTTCTAGGGGACCAGCAAGCCCCTCTTACAAAACATGGTGGACTGGACCCCCACTCCCATCCCAATTTTGTCTCCACCCTCTCCCCCCCGCTTCCAGACAAGTTATCAACAAACACGAAGACTATAAAAGGCAATCAGGGCACACATGACATTATCAAAACCCAAACCTTGGAGAATCCTTACCGGCTCGGATTCGTTTGGCAGAACCATGGTTTCCCCTGTTTTCAAGCAGGCAAAGAGGGTGCCTCATCGAGAGCCCGAAGTCAGGGCACTCGTCTCAACAATGGTGATGCCGTGGGAATCGGCTTAAGTGGGGTCAAAACTCCCAAGAAATGCTTTCCCTGGGATGCAGAGCCCAGAGGCTTGCAGCTCTCCAGCAACGGTATTCTAGATTTTCTGTACGCGTGTTTTCCTTGGGTCGGAGTTCAGAACTTTCATCCGACTCTCTGAGCAGGTCAACCAAAAAGGTGAACAAGCACTGCTCCCAACAAGCTGAATAGACAAGCTTGTTAGGGACATGATGAAAGGGAATGTGGCCACAACCACACCACCTGAGTCGAAACCCAGGCGTCCCGACCTCTAGGCCTAAGTTCTGAACACCCAATACTTACTCTTAGCTCCTCGAAGGCTTCGTCTAAGGTGGAGAGTTGGTGGCCCTGGTGAGCCCCAATGACTGGGCACAGGACACAGATGAGCTGCTTATCTTCCTGGCAATAGGTGCTCAGATCGAGCCCGTGGTCCGGACACTTCCTCTTGGCCACTCTCTCCGCTTCCATTTCTATTTCTGGGTCAAATTCACTTTCTGCCTCAGTTTCTCCCTCGGCCTCAGATTCTCCATCTTCATGGTTGTCTTCCTCCGCCTCGCTCTCTTGCTCATCCTCCATTTCTTCCTCACTGTCTTCTTCGCTCTCTTCATCGCTCTCCTCCTCACTCTCTTCCTCCGTCTCGCTCTCTTCGTCGGACTCACTGTGCTCCTCGGACTCGCTCTGCTCCCCCACCTCGCTCTCTACGTCTCTCTCATTCCCCGCCTCGGCCTCCACGCCTTCCTTTCCCTCGCCTTCCTCCTGGACTGGGCAGGTCCAGGCCTGGGCGGCGCCGTGGATGTACTCGGCCAGGTGGTGCCCGGGGAACTTCTGCCTATGCCCCTCTGCGTGGCGGCGGCAGTAGCAGAAGCCGCATTCTCGGCACACTTCCTCGGCCCCGGGAGCCTCGTCGGGCTCGCACTGGTCACACGTGCCGTCGTGCGGCAGCTCCTCCAAGGCCGCGCCCCCTCCGGAGGCCATGTGGGTGCGGGGACGAGGCCCAGGTCGTGGGGCCTCGGAGATCGCCACTGGCCTTCGCGGCCACCTCAAGTCCTCCTCCCCACCCGGTCCTGTCCCAGGGAATCGCCGCCCGCTTGGGACGTGTGGTGCCTTGGAGCGGGCCTGGGGCCGCGGCGCCGGTGCCGCCTGCTCCCGGCAGCCCCCGCCCAGCCCAGGAGCAGAGGGCCTTCCCGCCAGCTGAAAGCTCGGCGCCCGCTGCGCTTCCTCCCGCAGCCTGGCCACTTCCGGCGCGGCGGCCCCGCGCCCCCTTCGGCCCCCACGCCGCGCTGCCCGCCTTGGCCTCTAGCTACCCCGGCGAGATCGCGGCGCGCAGCCCCCGCGCCGCCCCGGTTCCACTTTCCCTTTCCCTGTCAGGCGGCCTCCTTTCACTTCCTGAGTCATTTAAAGTGGCAATGGCCCTTTTCTGCGACTCCCGCGGGGGCTCCGCATCCCCGGAAGGAGGGGAAGGATGGATAAGGCCTCCTTCTAACTCCGGCCCCGGGAATGGGGCCCCGCCTCCCCCAGTTCCTCCCTAGAGGTGTCAACCCGACTTGTCAGGACCAGTAGGCAGGTGTACGTGTGTATTTCAGGTTCCTTCCCATTTGTCGCTGACCCTCCCAGTCCCCGCTGCTGCGTGCTCTGGAAGGTGCCAGGACGGAGTGTTATTTACCAGAATGAACCCGAGCGCCTGGGATTTCCAGAGGCCCTGGGAAGGGGTGTGTTTGTTCTCCTAGGCTCGGGGAATCTCAGAGTCAGCCTGAGCAAACAGACATTTTCGATCCAAAGCAATACTATACTTTCTCTATTTGCAAAGCCTATTTGCATTCCTGCCTTCTAGGGGCTCAGCACTTGTGGGGTGGCAACCTTTGTACCTTTCTCGGAGAGCCTGCCTTGGGTTTGGCTGAGATGTCAGGTGAGGTAGCTGGAGAGACAGTGTTTATCAAAAGGGAGCTCCAGTGTGCAGTCATTTTCCCTTAAGTAAGGACACTGTTTAGATTCAGATTGGGTTCCAAAGAGAGGATGGGGGCTGTAATTGATTAACCAATACTAAAGTACCCAGAATTGGGTTTTTTGTAGCTCTTTACAACTGGGTTTTGGAAATCCACTGCCCAAGGGCTCCCAAATCTTGACACTACAACTTGTTGCCTTTGTGACCATGGAGAATTTAATTGATCTTTCTGTTTTCTGCTTTAAAAAAAAAAAAAAAAGTATGCTTGTAAAGTGGAAATCATTGTAATACCTATTTCCTGGGGCTGTTTTGTGAATGAAATGTGAAAGTGCCTGCCTTGTACACGTATTCACTACACTCTAACTGTTATTATTGGCACAAATTATATTTAATTGGGCATAATGACCCTTGAAAGAGGTTTTAAATATATTTTTTAACTCATTAAGTATTTTTTTGGCTGGCGGCTGGTAGTGCAATCAACCCCTCACCTCAACCCCTTATCTGTGCCCCTCCACTCACTGAAGAGCTTTTGTTTTGTACTTGTGAGCAAAGAGGGGCATTTTAATCTAGTCCCAGGAGAGGCTGAGATGTGGCTGAGGAGAATGGTCTGTTTTCCATTGACTTCCTTGGATAATTTTGAGCCCGAATTTCTAGATGAACATCACAAAAATGCGAGAGGATGGGATGATGTAAAAATTATTTAAAATAATTTTTAATGTCTCCACATATAATGTATGCTTGCTCTCTGTGCAGCTTTTGTTAGAGACTTATTTATTTTTTAGAAATCTTTATTTTTTTTTGTAACCTCAGACCAATTCTATAAAATGTTGAGAAAAAAGAAAGAAGGGTTTCTTTTCCCCAATTCAATACACATTTCTATTTTTTCCAGTTCATTTCTCTGGAAATTATTTCTATGTCTGCATTCAAAACAAGGATTGATGCACCATTCTGAAAAAAATATTCAACAAATGTCAACTCAGACATCAACATTAGTATATCTAGAGAATAGCGTTTCTTCAAGCAAGACACACTATTTTCTTGGTGTACTAATATCCACCTCTCCAAGCTTACAAGGAAATAGTTTTTCCAAACATAACATTATAACATTTAGAAAATTTTTTTTCACTGAAAACAATTTTTTAATGTCTTTAAAGAATATTTTGTGTGTATGTGTCCAGGATCTTGGTGGGGAAGGAAGGGTGTCTTTTTGCTGTCATTATTGTTTGTTTTTAATTTTACCTGACAGAAAGCGAAAATATCATTCCGTGTGGTTCACTATCTGACACTTCACATTCCTATTTTGAGCCTTTTGTGATAAGTGGGGTTGTAGAGTTAGAAGGTGATGGAACTGTAAAAAAGGGACTTTATAAAGTTCTGGTAATGAGGTATGGCAGACTAAATGAGACAGACCTTCCATAACCCTCTGCACAGATATCAGAACGGTCTGATTCCCCAGGAATCAGGATCTTTGGGTGCATCCAGAGAGAGAAACTTTATTATATTAACCTATTATTGCATAGAAAATTACCTCAAAACGTAGCAGCTTAAGACAATAAAGATTTATTATCTCACACTTTCTGTGAGCCAAGAATAGGGGAGTGGCTCAGCTGGTTGGTCTAACTCAGGGTCTCTCAAAAGATTTCAATGAAGATATTGGCTGGAACTGTAGACACTTGAAGGCATGACTTGTAGGATTTGCTTCTAAGGTGGGTCACTCACATGACTGTTGGCAGGAAGACCACTTTCTATTGGGCTGCTTTAGTGTCCTCATGACATGGCAGTTGAATTCTCCCAAAGCAACTGATTCAAGAGAGGGCAGAATGGAAGATGCAATTTCTTATGACCTAAGTTCAGAAGTCACACATCATTATTTCCAACATAGTCTATTAGTTACAGAGATCAGCTCTATTCATTGTGGAAGGGGACTACACAAGGGCATGAATACGAAGAGGTAGGGATCTTTGGGGCCATCTTCGAGGCTGGCTACCAAGTTTTTCCCTTTTGCCCTCAATGACTCACACCTCTCTCAAATGTAAAACACACTCACTTTCACCCAAGATCCCTAATATCTCACCCTATTATAACATCAGTTTTAAGTAAATCAGGTCCAGGTGTGGATGAGGCGGCTCAGTGTAGTGTCTTACAAGCAGCTCCTCGAGAATAGTTCCTCTCCCTCTGAATACTTGTTTTCCTCCATAATACCAACATACAATGATGAGACAGGCTGAGGATGACTGATACAGACATTCCTGTTTAAAAGGAGACAAGACACAGAGGAGCTCCCAGGTCCACAGCAATCCCGAAATTCAGTTGGACACATATTAGAAGTTCCTCAATTAAAGTTTAATTCTACTTTTGCCCAGGAATGACTCTCCATGGCTTTTGACTTCACCCTTTAAGCTCTTGATTCCACTCTCCAAGTCAATCTTCCTTTTCTATAAAAAGTAGACGATGTTTGCAGCTATATAATTTGTCAGTCTGCTTTCTGCCAATAGAATTAAGGCAATTTAAAGGCCCTTTTTAATTTTGTATTGTCTCTGTTTCATTTAGTCCATGCTGGCAATGTTTCTGCCAATATAATTCCTTTTAAAATGTTGTGGGTCCCCTATGAATCTAAGTGGGGGCACTGCTTCATTGGACAAAAATCATACCCACACGTCTCTTCAAGATAAGCTCTTTTCTACTGGGGAGAGTCCCTCTACTGAAACTGCTGAGGCACAGCACTAATAAGCTTCTTTGAAGCCGTGTTTTTTGTCTGAATGATTCTCTGAATCACTGCTGTAGATCTTTTTGAGGTACGAACAAAGGGGTTTCAGCCACACTCTCAGCTTCATCATTTGCTGATGTTTTCCTTGCAGTTTCCGGGAGTTCGTTTTTGACTGGAAGCCATTTCTTCATTTTAGCATTGTCATTTAAAGAAGATGAGAATATCCAAATCTAGCAAGTTCTAGATCTTTTCTTTTTTTAAAGTCCTTCTTTAGATTCTTTCTTTTCACATTTTTAAATAATCCGACATATGACATCAGAACCTTCAGCACTCTATCTGGCAATGTATTTAGCTACAACACCTAATTAATCAGGCATATTTTCTACTTTATGCTTTACTGCCAGTGACAGTGTTGCTAAACTTCCTGCTGCTACATAACAAGGAATCTTTTTCTCCAGTTTCTAATCACATTTTTCTTATTTCCCCTTCAGCCTTAACCTACAGTCTTTTCAAAACCTCTCAAGATTATTCTAGCAGTTTCTTCAAGACTCTGCAGGCTCTTACTAACACTCTCCTCCAAGTCCTTCCAGCTTCTCCAACTGCCCAGCTCCAAAGCTACTCCAACATCTTAGGTTTTTGTTACGGAAGCCACCTTACTCTTTATAGTAAAGTATGTATTACTGTCTATTAATGAATAATAAATTACCTCCAAACTTTGAGGCCTTTCAGGGGCAAACTACCACACTTGACATTAACGTTGTCTTCTCATTGTGGTAAGTACCAGCTGTTAGGCGTCTCCAAGATGGTCGGCAGGCAGTAGATGCAGAGGACAAGGCAGCTTGCATTTGAGACTGTTATGTGAGTACATGTGGGACTTTGAGAAATAAATGGTCTATTCCTATAATAAACTGGTGTCTGTTAATTATGTGGGTGATAGCTCTGAAGTTATTAGACATTTGAACTCTCTACACATATGGAAACCTACATTCAGAGAGGTGAAAAAGCTTGTTATATGTTAGCCAAGATGTGGCCAAATAGGGACTCAAACCGAGGTCTACTTGAATCTATCTTACCATACTCACCTGTGGTTTAAATAGGACATACCCCTAAATTGCTTAACTGCTTCTCAGTAACCTTATCTGTCTTTTCCTTCCAGCTGTGAAATCAGTTTCCGTCCCCTTCACCTGTTCCAAAGAGACAAACTGGATTTAGTAAGATTAATAACATAGTGCATTTAACTAAAAAAAAAAAAAAAAAAAAAAAAAAGCCTCTTAAATTGAGAAGAGAACATGGTGGAATTTCTAAATCCACTGCTTTACTGGAGGTATTTGTACCCCCTGAGTTAGCCCCATTCTCACTGGAATGTCACTTCAGGGGCTGATTTCATTCCCCCTGCCCCAAGCCCCTGGAATCACCTAAAGCTCATCTCATGATGTTATCATATTAGCTAACTTCTTATCCTATTAAAGCCAGTGCAGTGAAATATG